CCACGAAACCCGAAATCCTCCCCGAAAGCCCGAAGCCCCACGAAAGCTCGAATCTCTTCCCACGAACGCCACGCGAAAGCCCAAATCCTCCCCACGAAAGCCCGGATCCCTCGCCACGAAAGCCCAAAATCCTCTCCGCCAAGGTCCGAAACCCTCCTGCAAAAGCCTCCCCTCCAAAACCCGAAGCCCTCCCCGCGAAAGCTCGAAACCCTTGCCACGAAAGCCCGAAAGCCTCCCCGGCCCGAACCCCTGCCCACGAAGGCCCGAAACCCTTCCACGAAAGCCCGAATCCCCACAAAGCTTAAATCCTCCCCACGAAAGCCCGAAGCCCCATGAGAGCCCGAAAGCCTCTTCCCGACGAAAGCCCAAATCCTCCCCACAAAAGCTCGTTCATTAAAGCTTTAATTAGATGTAAATTGAGTTGAATTTCAATTGACGTTGCTTCTGACAGTAAAAGCCACAAAATGCTGCGCTGGCGCACGAGGGCGCAGCCCCTAAAAGTTTAGGGTTTAGGGGTTAGGGGGGTTGGTCTTCGGATTCAAATTCGAGGGTAGGTTTAGCTCAGGGCTTAGGGGTTTGGAGGATGCGGATCTTCGTGCACACGTCCTTTACCGACCATCCGTGCTTTTGACTCGGGAGCACCCCTGAAGTGGAGTGTATTGAGCTTTGGTGGCCTGGGGGCTCAAAAGTTCAGATGGCGGGTTTCAGCTTACGGCTTGCGGTTTGGAGTTTCAGCTCTTGTGCTACCTACTCACAGTTTCGGTTTCAGATTTCTGTATCTCGGTAGGATTCACACTCACGACACCTCAACACCAGCTGAAACCGGCATCGGGGTTCGCAAGGAGACCTGAATGGTCCCCACTCTGATCCGCTAAACTCACCCAAGGTGTAGTTTCGGCAGGGAAGGACACAACTCCGAAGACCCTGAACATCGCTGAACCTTCACTCCAAGACCCAACACAATAACAAAAGACGAGTTTGTCACTGTTTGGCTTTAGCGGTTTAGGGTTTTTTGTTTAGGGTTTAGGGTTTAGGGGGCCTTAGGACTGCTCGGCGAGTCATTCGAGGATCAAGGCACCACGAGAGCAAGTGACAAGATAAACACACCGCCAAATACTCGTTGGGAAAAAATCACCCAAGGAGAATGCAACCCTAAACCTAAACCATAAACCCTGAACCCTAAACCCCAATAAAACCCCCCATGCTCCAAGCACCCTTTTATTAGAACAGAGCAAAGCCGAGCCAGACACAATCTGGCCAAGACCTTCGTGGACACCTCCGCTGTCATTCCCGGCCCCATTTATGGAAGAAGGCGTGTAGTCTGTAGGTTTGGGGTTTAGGGCTTAGGGCCCAGGGGTTAGGGCTTAGGGTCCAATGTTCCCTTCCCAATGTCCATGACAAAGTGGTCGTCTGCACTTCTGCGGTTGGAGTTGGTATCCTAGCTAGGAGGCTTGTCTCCAAAAAAGTGCTCCGAAGACCTAGGAAAGCTTGGACCTCCGCAACAAGAACCAGTTGAGGCAACAACCTGACTCAAGCCCCTGACAAGTCCGCACAATGAAACCACTCAAGACGGCTCGAACGTCGGGGCTCGAACTGTTTATGTCACCAAGCTTTGGGGGGTTTCAAACCATCCTGAGCGAGCCACAACATGATTTGTCACAGTTCACCTTCTCTTCTCGACAATGTGTTGCAAGGAACATGGATTGAGAGCTGAGGGAGTTGAGAATGGCAAGTGCGTGTTGGCTCGGGGTCAATCTGAGATGGGGACGGTCCGGTTTGTGTCTGCTGTTTGCGATCCGGCCACAGCGGAGCAAGAATCTGAGACGGGCACAGATCAAGCCCAGAAGCACGAGCCGGAGCATGTGCAAATGACCATATCCATGCGAGATGCAATGCTCGTGAATTCCATGGCGAAGCCTGCACCACTCCTAACACGATATAAACCTGTTAACAATGCAACGACAGCTGCAGAAATGCTTTGCGTCCTGCTGCGAGCTTCTGCGGATGTCCCAATGAAGTTGGTAAGCAAAAGGTTTAGAAACTGCCGCTGCCATGCCAACACGTCATGCTTGCTGAGAAACCACTCACAGCGTTCTCATCGGACAGAACATTACCATGAACACACCCGTCCCTGGAGCCACAATGTCCACGCAGGCCGACGGCGTGGTGTCAGAGCGGTTTCGCTTCTTTTATGCAGGCTCCAAGACTCAAAGCGGCTTATACTTTGATCCACCACACTTTCTGCAATAAGGGTGATGAAGCTCACGGAAACTCGATAGGACCCGTTGACTCAACTTGGACTGCTGATGAGTGCAAAAAAAACGTGGCGGCCTGCAAACTTCGCTGCAAGTGACCTTCTAAATGATGTCACCGTGCCAATATCGGCTTTCGGGAGCGCCGCCAAGACAAAGGATGTCACAAGCACGTGCTAATACCATCAAGCCTGCGACAGGCTTCTTGAAGTCTTGAAGTCCCTCTCGGCGTGCTCCGAGTTCTGCAGGGCTACTTCAAAACTGACTGTATGTGCGATGACAACTCCGACTCATATGCTAGAATACTTTACTATACTGTACTGTGCTATAGTAGACTACAGTCGACTATGATGGACAAAAAGACTATGACAGACTATGGTAGATTATAACATACGATCATTCACTCTAATATACTCTACGATCATAGACTCTAGTGCACTAGAAGATTACTACAATATTATATACTACAGTGGGCAATAGAACGCTCTAGTATAGAAGGCAATCCTGGGAAGCTCAGCAAGCCACGTCACTTTTCCCTCACACGTGGAACAAGTGACCATAGGTCGTCGAGCAAGGTACACGTGGAACAGGTGACCATAGGTCGTCGAGCAAGGTACACGTGGAACAGGTGACCATAGGTCGTCGAGCAAGGTACCCCCCCCTTGAGGGGCCTCGCCCATGCGATGATCAAGCACCGGCAATGTCCAAAACACTCAAAACTGTTAAACAAATTAAGACACGAAGATTGAAGACGGTCGTCTGCGAGCTCAGGCACCAAGCCTCTTGAATACACGGTTGTTGGCAAAATGGAACACCTTCCTTGTGGCAAAAAGCGGCCGCAACCAGCGGCGAAAACAACGGATCCCAGTGTCTCAAGAAGCCCATCCTGCACTTCTTCCTTGTAAAACGTAATCTGCGTGTACAATTGCCATGCTACACAGGCAAGAGCTGCGGGTAACGTGAGCACGCATACCAGTGCATCCATGAAGAGCTCCGTGCATATCCATTGAGCTTTGCGTCGGAGGCAGCGTGCAAAGAAAATACCGACGGTAGCAACCAGCGGCATGCAGAAAAGCCAAAAGCCGAGGAATCTGATCACAAAGTATGGGACCAGAAATTGGTTCCCTTCCTGTGAGTACACGGCCAGGTAGTCCATCCAGGGCCACCAGACAGGCACGAAAGATCTTTTTTTTTTTTCACGGACCTTTTTCCTCAGAAAGATCCAAGCATCCAAAGATAAGGAAAAGCATCGTATCCCAGCTGCTGTTCGAGAGCCCGGGCTGTGAGGGACCGGACAGACTCGTCAAACTCTTGCTCAGATCCAAACCAGCTTGTCACACACTGGCTGACAATTTCTCTGTCACATACCTCGATTGGCATGCCACTGGCTGGGTGGATGTGGTTCACGCTGCAACACCAGCACTCCGCGTGTCGCAGCCGGAAGTCCTGCAACTGACTCTCGATAGCCTCAAGAGACCTGTAATATTTGCGGGAAGCATGTACGAGGAACATGCCTTCGGCAGCGCCGAAGGCAAGAAGCACTCCCCAAAACCGGAAAAGATCGTAGAAAGGGTTGAAGACAGCAAAGAAACCCCCAACGAACGCAGCAAGGCAAGTTGTGCATGCAATGAAGCCCAGGAGTATCGGCTTGACCTGCAGGATGTAAGGTTTCTCCGCAGCCGCTGGATGGGCTTTCAGAAATGCAGCCATTTCAAACAAGCACCACAGCCTATCCTTGGTCCATATCAACACGGAAAGAATAAAGATTTCTAAACCGGACGAAGCAAAAGAGACCCCTAACTTTCACCAAGCATCTGCGTAGGAATCGTCGAAAAGGACCAGCAGGGATTTAGAAACGCTTAGCACCGCGCCTATATTGACGATGCCTTCAGCCCTCATGCGTGGATCAAACTGATTGATGCACACTCTATCAACGAAAATGGACCCACGCGGTCTCCAGAAAGCCAGCGTGAAAACTGCCAGGATCAGCCCAACAGAGGAGCACCAGCAGGACCATTTCTCACCAAGCTTCGGAAAGCCTGGTAAGAAATCAGTTCCAACGACAACCGAAGCCAAGCCGTTCTTGATAACCAGCAATAGCAGCACCTTTTTCCAGACTGCAACCTGCCAGCTGTGACTCAAAAACTCATCGTAGTCCTGCGTGACTTTGCTGAGGCTAAAGAAGCTTCGGTCTTTCCGAGCCCAGAAGACACGTCCCAACCAGGCTACCAAGTGGTATGTTGGAACTGCCCGCAGGATTTCGGGTCGAGTTGGCTGCATCCTCTCCATGAGCCCAACGAGAGCTGCAAGTTCTGGTTTGGTCGGTTTTCCAGAGTCTCCAGAATCCGATGGTTTCTGAGGGCCGCTTTCGGCTTCATCTGGCACTTCCTCTTCCAAGTCAATCTCTACAAAGTCATCAGGGACATGATTCGCAGTCTCGTCCGCTGACATGCTCATTGCACCATAGCAGCTCTGGGCACTGCCATTCTAAGTAATTCTTTCTTTTTTTTTCACGGACCTTTTTCCTCTGCATGCTGCGTCCGGTCTGTGGCTCCTACGTCTTACAAGCTATCCGCCCGCGTCCACCTGCGACTGCGGCGGTGGGCGCAAGGGAAGGCGACTGGGTCCTTCGGCCTCGGCCAAGTCAAGGAGG